GCGTTTCCATCTTTTGAGACTGAGATGAAGTTGATCTGATTTTTGGTGTAGTGTGTCCTGGTATCTGACGAAATCAAATTCATGTCGCTTTGTGGATATCCTTGTGTTTGTACACACTGCTTAGCCTCTAATCACCAAATCGTGTAGGGCGCAGAAATCTGCAAACAGTTCTCCATTCTCATTCGTTTCATCAAGTGCTTCTCGACCCATGATGAGTCCTCTTCCTGTGTTGTCTGCTGCCAGTTTGGCATTCATGTCGCCCATTATAATTCTGATGTCGCCATCTGGAGTCTTGTCGATTACTGATTGCAGTTGTCTGTAGAACTTCTCCTTCTTCTCTTGGTCCGCGTCTGCATTATTTGTAGGTGCGTAGCCTAGCATTGTATCATTGTGACTTTCCTTCCTTTTGATTTGAATCTTGCTGTCATGATGGTGATCGTGTGGGGGGGGAGATTGGTTTCCACTGCATGACAGCCTTCGATGCTCTTCACGACTTCGTGATGGCCACTCGATAACTCGGTGTGCTGGCGGCTGTCGTCTGGGTAACAATATCGGAGTAGATTATTGACTCTCCAGTTGACAGTTTGGAGAGTCCACTTCCATTCCATCTACACATTCCTCACAGATTCCTACCACTTCTATGCCATACCTTTCCATTTCTTCTTTTGCAATCTGGGTAACCTTGCCAGCCAGCTTCAAACATTATGCGGACATTCCATGTCCTTATACTTACTTTTGCTTTGATTGAGGGAGGAGAAGACACATTGGTCGATTGGCTTTCGGAAGGCTTTCACCAATCGGCGTCATTTCGTCTCTCCGATTCCAGTGAGGAATAAGTTGAATTTTATGTTTTATGTTTACTTTGTGCTTTGAAGTTTGTTTAGCAGTTGGATTGGTTTTAGGGAGTAGGATTGCCAGCCGTATACCTAACGTTCCCTCTTTATCCGGGTTTAGGACCGGCTAGTAACTAGTGAACTAGACACCTAGGCGAGGTTATGTCTAAGAATGGTAGGTGATTATTATTCTCTTTCTCACAAGTCAGGCTGATGTGTGTTAACTCCTTTCATTATACAAGCCATATCCTCATATCTCTCACAAATTACTATGATGTCATCAACTTATCTTTTGGAAAGAGAGACTTCAATGATATATGATATATAAATATCAGCTAGTAATGGTCCTAATGGACTACCCATAGCAACACCGTGAAGTGAATTTTGTCGGGGCACATCAATAATAGCTCATACACCCGCTGCAAATACATCATGTTGTTCTGATAAACTTAGTGTTCTAACCATACTATCGAAATTCATGAAAGGGGCTAATTGTTTCAAAATCAGAAATATCTATCTGTGAACTCAATTTCACCAGCATTTTTCGAATGAAATTAAAAACGCCCATGTAGCATTGTATAGTGAGTTATGAGTACTCATAGTTTAAACAAGGAAGTTCCAGCCGTCAGTTTCTCTCAAATTTCCAGGCAATGTCATTCACTTTTCGTTATCAACAAGAAGAATAGTTCGTTCAACCTGGATTTGTTGGTACACAAATTCATTCAAGTTATCTTTTAGATATTTATAAGGACAAGAGGAAAGTTGACCATACCATACTGATATGGATATACTTAATCCCCATACCTCATGGTTGTTCCAGGAAGTTGTGAAACAAACTACGTATGTTTAACTGGAATCGTGATTTCAGTAAGGATTGTAAATTCTTTCGGTATTCTTCTTCTCTTAAGTGATTAAATTGAGTATCTGGTCAGTGCTTTCAATTGTAAATTGCCGTATATCTTTTAAATGGATTCATGTGTAACCGCAAAACATTCATTTTAAGTCAAGGTACGCTGTAGGCAAGAAATAATGGAAGGATTATATTGGTTTCATTGACTGATAGAGTATGTCTGATCTTGAACGCTCATAGTCTTCAGAAAGATCCTCTTGACATAAGTCTTTTCTTCTAAGCGTTAGTTAACTAGAACATATCTGAAACCTAAAGTAAACACTGCATGAATTTGAGTCTTAAATCGATGTCTTCAATATGAATCGTGAAATAGATTTTTAATGGGACTTTGTTCGAAATAACTAAATTAAACTGAGATACAACGTTTATTGTTACTTGAAACATAAAAATAGAACACATCTGAACCACAGACTTCAGATGATATCACTCAAGATGTTCCGGAATCTCTTGTACCAATTTGAAGTAAAGAATTCATAGCTCGATAAACGGTACTTATTCGTTTCACCAACATGTACTCTATTAAAAATCGTATATCGAAGTAGGCAACCTTAGAATTTGTGCTATACGTTTCAGCCATGTTACAATTCGCACCATCTGATCGATTTTCCTTATTTCATACAACACACCGAAGCTCTACATTAAAATGATTTGTATTCTACCAACCCATACATTCGTAAATATAAGCAGTGTGCAGTACTCATCAATAGTATTTGCTTAGATGAACTGTCGCCTAATCAGTTTCTATTTTATAATGCTTTTGTTTTTTTTGTCAACTGTTCAGTCTATATAATAGTTTGAGTCAATTATCACAATTAGTGAGTGTAATCAGCTCCAAAGCGTGACGGACAACGATTATGGTCATTTCCTTAAAGTTAAATGAAATACGCCAGTCATATTTTCAGATAAAAATAAGCTATCATTCAGAAGTTCAATACGTTTTTTCCTTAACGTTTGCTTCAGTGATAACATTTATCGTTTCACAACTATATGGGTGTGGTCATATATATATATAATAGTGTAGGGAGGGAGAGAGAGAAAGAGAGAGAGAAAGGAACATAGCTGAAGGATGGATGACTGTTTATAACTGTCGATCGATTATTTGCTTGCCTAATCCTAAATTTATGCATATTTAAAGTAAACTCCTTAATCTTGCATATTCATATCTTGAAACTATAGTTTGAAAAAGGAAACACCTGAACAAAGGCGAATATTTTGGTTAATACAGTACTAAAAAATGAATTAGGAGTGAACGTATGAAAGTGTGTCCTCACTAAAAGTAGTAATTCATTGCTTCTGTTTTTTTTGTTGTAAAAAGATATCATGAATAAATCATATGATCGTCATTTTGAATTATCCTCCCTTGATATTCAATGTTTTCAATATACACTATGAACAGTTTTTAAGCGTTCAGTGAGTAGTATGCAAGCTCTTATTTTTTCGAAATTTATTTTAATGCAATAACATTTCACTTAGTTCTGCTTATTTACTGTCACATACAATTAATTTGGTTACATGAATAACTTCAGCAAAAGCTCGTCAAACATTCGATATTAGATTTGTTTATTTGATTTATAACACACAGTGCTATGGTACTATTTACTTGATGACATTTCAAGCATAAATTATCATCACCCATAATCATATCAATGTAATCATATAACTGTCGACATTTGATCTTTGTAGTTATGTCACCTCATATGGGTTGTTTTTATTGGTAGTAGAATTTTCCATATTTCTGGTATAGGGTATTGTGTCATTTCTATTACATATGTTGCGAATTGATTCGATGAACAAAGACTTAGTAATCAATCTCTCTCTCTCTACCTAATCATATTGGACTTAAGTACAGTGACTTTATCCCACCCTATTGTGTGTTAATGCAATAGCCAAGTTACTTTCTAGATCACTGATCCTATTCAGGTCTGTCACTAGCTAAATTCCTATGTTCGACTATTCTAACTGACTCTGGTAGCTTGTTTGATCTATGTACTTGACCTGACAGTCATTACGTGGATTCGATAGATTAGATTATTTTGCTTAATTGATCCTATCGGATCCTTAAGCCAGTCGACCAAGCTTATCTCTGAGTGAGTTTGTAAGTTTAAATGTCACCCTAATTCCATTTTCTTGTCGTGTGTTTTGACCGAATTTTATCTATCATTTTGTAATGGGGTGGTTGACATATTGCGAGATCCATACCTATACACTTTTACCTGAGAATATCATGAAGAGTGGTAATTAAGTAACAAGCTGAATCAAGCCATGTTATGGCTCTATAATGCAGTGATCTAGCCATTGACTAACTTGTAAATCCAAAACCACTCCACCTATCTTGAAAGAGGTATCATTCACGCTTTCTTCGAAAGTAAATATCATGAGTACCAGCCAGACACAAGAAAACTTAAACGACCACAAAACAACACTTACTTTTAAGGCTGAAACAAATGAAATTTATTGATTTTGTCTAGAATAGTCTGCAGCTAGTTCTGATTTACTGAGGTTTCGTACTTGATGTCGGTCAGCAGCAAGGCACACCTACAGCCTTAGAGAAATGTATATTCTGTCAAAAATTCAAATCTACTTCACTCAGTGCCAAAATTAGAGACCTTTCTGATACTACTAGTAGTAACAATGATAATCACCTTATTCTAGCCAATCTGTTTCGTACAGTATGTTATTCCCTGTGTATGATATTTAAACAAGTTTACTCCTTGTACAATATTTTCATCCGAAAACATAGCGACTAAATGACGTTATCGCCAACGGTGTTCTAAACAATAACATGTGACGACCAGTCTATGAGTAGATTTTGCAGGAAGTAGGAGGAGGGAAGAAAATGCTGCGTAAGTTTGGTAGTGCTTTACTTAGCGAACATGAAAGTTTCCAGGTGAAGCAAACTATTTCAAGAATAGTTACAGCATGTATTGGTATACGCTTAGAAGCTTATCACCCTCTATCGTAGTTTTTCGAATGATCATAACAACTTCAAAAGTAGAGATGTTATGTGGAGTATTCAGAGGATAATATTTTTGCCAGTTTAAGCTGTAAGAAGGCCACCATGCGTTTCACGCTTGTTTAACCAAACGTACAGAACTGAAAGAGCAATCACAATCCTTAGGTAAACGGTAACCAATATGATTTTCAAGTTCCAAATAATGATTAAAGTTAATCTATTCAGCGTTAACTCAGACAGAAATGTTTATGCTACTCAGATTGATATTTATGGGAAATTACAATAGAAATCGGGATTAACTTACTCTAAGATCATTCATATAGATCACCATATGACATGTTTGCATCACATCAGCTGCATGCACCAAATTATGATATGGATTACTGTATTTACTGTAACCTGTTTCAAGTTGGATCAGCAAACTTTCTAAACAAGTAGAATTGATCTGAAATAAACAAAAAACTATGTTAAGTTTTCAACAAAAAAGTATCACAAATTAATCAGTGATGCGGCAAATATTTTGTAGTTCATGGTGGGGATGTTCAGACCGGGTTGTTCTCTGAGCTAGAGTTTTACTTGACAAACGTCTCAGTGTTATACCAGACATAGTATCAGTTATCAGTGCTCCTCCATGAGAAGCCCAGTTTAGTGGCGACGACGTCTAACATGACAGCGAAACGTTTACCAACCAGAAACTCTAGCTTAAAATCAAATCACTCTGAACGCTGATTTACATACTGAATGTTTGAGTTATTAAAAGGGATTTGGTGGACCGAAATCACAATACGGCTAAATGATAAATTGCTGAGTGACTGACTGATAGTTGCTCATTTCTGGCTTCAAACTATGCAATGATATAGAACAAGAATACTGAAACGTCGAAGAACATTTACACTAAAGTAGTTACATGACGAAGATGATGCATGCTACCAATCAAAATCGTGAAGATAGAGAAATATTATGGTGACAGGAAGAAACAATTAACAGTGTAGTTACTTAGGGCATGTGTTTGAGTTGAATAATCAACTTTAGATAGTTTTAGGAGTTCAACTATTTCAATAACATTTGATCAGGTACACTGCTTATTTTCCCAACTGAATTCAATGAAATCCACAAGCAAATGTGTACATTTTCATAGGGTTTGTCTTACTAACCTAAAGTTACTTCCATAGTAAAACAAAAGAGACCAAGATTGTTTTCTTGACAAAGAGGCCTTCAAATAATATCTGGTAGATGGATCAATATCTGGAAAAGGTTTTCAGTTATTCTTACACTAAGTATTTACCTTTGATCGAATGAACAAAGATTCAGTCATTAGTCCTTCCTTACATCTAGCAAAGATCCGTCGTGCTTTGTAAGCAAATTAGCCTGTATCCACAACTTTCACTTGTACATTTGCCCTCAGGGTCAAACACTTTTCAAAATTTTAGAGTTTCTTTAATATGAATATACACAATAAACTTATACCGATATATAGAACAAAGAAACTCGCAGCCACACATTTTCCCACTAATAAACAACTTGGATAAGAGTACTGAACCAACCATCAAGTGATTAACCTTTTTTCATTACCTGTTCCAGTCTTGTGTTTTGCCTTTAAACAATGTCAATTTGCTGAGTGAATTTGATATTTCACCACTAGTCTACCAAAACTCTATATTTTAGGTATTGAAATGATAAACTAAATTTTTTTCACCAATTTCAAAAATTGCGGAAAAGTTGATTAGCTAATCATCTGCTACAGACAACTCATCAATCAATGGTCTTTTTAAAAAGATTCCAGTTAATCGACAATACAGTAGGATAGCAGAAATTCTGGGAGCTAGAAAGAGAAGGAACACGATGAAGATATCATCATTTAATCTTGACTAGGTAGTCTTTAAAAATCGTAGTTGTCTCGTTAGACGTAATAACGTAGATTTCGTCACATGTGTGTATCTTTCAAAAAATCTCTGGACAGTTGGGATTTAATCTCCTTTCATTATCGCTTATGAGTAATTCAAATATTTCCTGAAAATACGACGAGTTTGTACTTTGAACAATGCTGAACAAGTGCATGTAATATGTTCACATCACTATCGTTTGGACTTCAATCAATGTGCTGCAGGTTTAAACTCGACTTCGAACTTCAGATAGCTAATTGAGTCACCATCCCCTACTTACTAGGTTTATCTTATATTCCAGCACGCATGAATTTGTTCTATTGCTTGTTGAACTACAGCTTATGATTATTATTTGTTCCTAGTGGAACATAAGGCTTCAGTAGCACGTCTTCATTCCACTCTCTTCTCTTCAATCTTTTGAACCTGTCTTCAAGACTACCCACAAGCTCTCATTTCTTCCTTACACGATGTCCTCCATGTCACCTTCACCTCGGACGCCCAACTCGTCGTTTCCCCTTTGGCTGCCACTAGAGGGCCTGGCACGTGATGTCCCCAAATAGTCTTCTTCTGCATATATGTTGAGCAATAGGTTGTTGGTTGGTTCATTGCCAGAGTTCCTTGTTGCTTATTCTTTATGGCCATCTGATCTTCAGTAATGAGCTACAGCTTAGTTTATCTAAAGTTTTATTTGCAATAACACAATTGAAAACTATTTATTTCTAAATAAGTAGTACATTTCAATATATCAATTAACTAAATAACTTAAAAATAATGCTCACCTGGAATTTGTTGATAAAGTTATACTTATGCAATAATTCAAATGCAACAAATTTCAGTGCATGATTTTCACTTGCTTCATTCAAACCAAATACATCGAAATTCCAGGTGTCTAAACCAGTCTGTATAAAAAGAAGAGATAAAAGAAATAGAATGAGATAATAAGTTGAACAAATGAATTACATTGAATATTGAATCACCACGCTTGTCTTTACCAATATCTGGCATATTTCTATGTAAACCTAATGTGGAGAATGAATATAGTTACAATCAAAATTACTTATTTCACTCAGTGTGAAATAATGATTAATGATCACTTATGTCAGTCATGCTACATAGAGCTTACACTTACAGCAACATACTGGATACCGGCAATGACAACGATCCATGAAGAGTATTTATTTATAACTAGTCTAAAGGGAACCCTTTTTGACTTTTGTAGGTGAAATAATTATCATCAGATAAAATGCACTGTAGTGTAGTTGATAGATGATACATTTGAGTTGGCACTTAAGAATAGACGACTGCACTGTTTATCCTATGATACCTAATTTTCTAAAAAAAAATGATGCGATCGAAAGAGTAGGATACACAAGAACACAGAAGAAGTAAGTCGTATCAAACAATCTGATGATTCCTAAATGCTTCTTTATATTCAACTAAGCATCCAGTTGTACTTTATTTTACTAGAATACGTAATTTTGAAACTTGAAAAATTATATCCCGTGAGGAAAACTAAACACTATATGATGATGATCATGACAATAATAATGATAATTCCTACTAGGTGATGATTGAAGATGACATGGAAATCTGGACTGCGGCCGGATTCGAACCAGTGACCACCGGGTTACCGTCCCGGTGCTCTACCAACTGAGCAATGAGGTCCAACTGTTGACCAGATCTTGATTTCCTTTCACTTCAGTCACCGAGGGTTTTGACCGACTACCATGTGGATTCATGATGTGTTACTTCCGCTTGATTGTATTCAGACTGGCTGCTTATTCAAGACTCCTCATCCCAATGTAAATCTAAGTGAAGCAGAGATGGGGAGCATCATATTGATTATCATTTGACTATTTGAGATAGCCTTAGTTTGGCAGACTGGTGTTTATACTGGGTGATGCTTGAAGATGAGATGAAAATCTGGACCACAGTTGGATTGGAACCAGCTCCCCCTCTCTGATTCAGTTAGATTTACATTGGGATGAGAAGTCTTGAATAGGCAGCCAGTCTGAATACGATCAAGCGGAAGTAACACATCATGAATTCACATGGTAGTTAGTCAAAACCCTCGGTGATTGAAGCGAAGGGAAACCAAGATCTGGTCACCTCGTTGCTCAGTTGGTAGAGCACCGGGACGGTAACCCGGTGGTCACTGGTTCGAATCCGGCCACGGTTCAGATTTCCATCTCACCTTCAACCATCACACAGTATAAACACTAGTCTGCCAAACTACGGCTATCTCAGATAGTCAAATAATAATGATAATAATACGGATGGTGAAATAGGCATTTGTGGTCATGATAGCAATCGAAGTATGGATGATAACGAAGCAGATTATGTAATATATGGAATGGTTCCATAGAAGGTATATAACTTACAAAGGGGTGAAAAAATTGATAAAAGTGGTAAGTCAATCAAGCATTAGGTCAAGATGAAATCAATGTTTTCTAAAAAGATTAAGACAATTAAGTGAAATAACACCGGAAATTAACCACAGTGAAGGCAATTATAATGGCAATAATGGTGATAAAGGATGGATACAAAGGTTAAGTTAACAATGGAGGAGGGGAAGCTGGGAAAATGTTATGGCCATGATAAAGACAGTGACTACACATACTTCTTTTGTACACAAAGATCAGGTTTTAGTTCATGAACAGGCAAAGCCTCTGTTGTTTTAAGGAGTTGAAAACGAAGAAAACGTGGGAGGTTTGGGCAAATTTGATAAATAATTTTAAGGTCATTTTATAGGTTTGTTAAGTGATGGAAATCAATCAAATGTCCTAGAATTGAACTTCTAACAGATTTACTTTCACCTTTATAAAACCAAGCAGGAACATATTCTCGTATACGCGTTGAAAGCATTCTCTGACTACGGCCGATATACCTTGCTCCACAAGAGCAGGTGAACTGGTAGATGCACATAAAGGTGGCCAAACGAGGAAGCTTATCTTTGACACGAACGGAGAATAGGTTACGGCTGGTAAAAGTCAACTGAAGTCTTGCTGCGAATAAAGTTCGATTGATTGGTCTGTATAGACGATTGTTTAGTACATCTGATGCCAGATTACCTTTAAATTCTCGGCTTATGAACAATCTTTTCTTTCAGACTGAGTGAATGACCTATATCATCATCATATAGTGTTTAGTTTTCGTAATGGGATATATTTTTTCAAATATCATATATATACCATTGCGCAGCTTGAAAGTAAAATCGTTGAAAAGAGTCCATTCGCTGAATGTCTTGTTCTTGATGTTACAATGGGAATTATTTATTTTGAAACATCAAAAATTAATGACCTGAACGATATAATGCTCCGATGCGATACGATTTAGGATAAAACTGGATGTTATGATTATAGATGAAAGTTCAGTCGTTTATATACATTTTTAATGACCTTGACCAGAGAAAGCTAACCAGCTATTAAAAGTGTAAAATGGATTGATCAGCGTTTGGTATCTTAAATTATGGTAAAAAATAACAAGGCTATACAGAGTAGAAAACACACAGATATAAGGCTTGAATTTTTTGATAAAAATAAATACATAAGTTAGCTTTGTAGTGATCAAACATCCCTTACAATAAACCGCAAATCCTTTTAGATTGTCATGAGTTTAGTAGGCTTTGTTTGTTCCGTCCACCCAGAAAACCAAAATTTCTAGATGACTTTGTTATACGAAGTACACAGGTGTTATGCCTACGGTAGAGCAGAATATAACAGTGATCCAGAAAAGTTTCTAACTGTTTTATCAAAAAGACTAATACCAAATCGTCTTGATGATCAGAAAGGGTACGACATGGAAACCTTTGTCACTAGGATAGACACCTAAAACTATCATACCTCCTAACAAGTATGAAACTTTGATCCAAGTGCAATGGCATGATTCAGGTTGCGAGAAGACTTGTGTGGATTATGCTAAAATTAGTCTTCCAGACCAAGGCTATTAGTTAGTATGATCGATCGTTGGTAGATTACTCTGCCTTTCTAAGTCAGAAATGTGTGGATTGCGAAAAGAACACCTGAAATGAGCAGCTACTGTGATCACGATGAATGCGCGGTTATACGTTACACTGACATAGTAGCCAGACAACACCCACAGTGACTTAATTGACACTGAAACAGTGCTAGGAGTTAGATATCGTAACTCCATAGGTTTATACAATGACAAGTGGTTTGGAGGCCACTGGTTCGAATCTGGCGACAGTCCTTACTTTCACTTCCCCTTCAGTCACCATCCCTTACAATTACAAATCATTTAAACGTTTCATGATCCAAAATGAAGTTTTCCATAGTTAGGTACTCTTTCAGCTTCTGAACAAGGAACATCAGGAGAGTTTTAGTCACAAGCTATTTAACCAACCTCCTGTGAGACAAAAGCATCAAAAATTACTGAAATGTATCTGCTGGTCTCTGACATAAATTTCAACACACATTGTGTAAATTATTTGCATATCTATTCGAGTCAGTTAAGAGATTCCTCCAGCCGGTCTCAACAGTTAGGGTATCTGTATGAATTTGATTTGTATGACTGAACTGCATGTATGAGCTTCTTCAGCTAGAATTTTGAGACGCACTAACGATATACTCAGGAAAACTCAGCTCAGGGCTCTAATGTTGCAGTCCAATGATTTCCAGTCAGCTAGCTTTATTGGCAGTGTGCAAAAAGGTGCATTAGCACCATGCAAACTACAATTCAGCGTTTATTGCGAGCAAGTAGCTATTAACCCATTAACCCAGCTATTAACCTATACTACTACTGAACAAGTTGAGTAGTTAGAGACCACTCAGACTGGTGTGTAATATTTTGCCACTCAGATCAAATTGGTCTAAACACTAAGTGTCTGTTTCACTCATTTTGGCCCAAGTCGGCCAAGTCAGTGGTGTACCCAAATAAATTCAGTTCATCTAACCGGACGAATTCAGATCATCTGAATCTTGCTAACTGACCCACATGAACCGGCATACATAAAATAGGATGATCGATTTGTATATGATTCAGGTGATCTGAACTAACTTGAATCTATGATCTGGATTTATTAGCGTACACCACTGTAGAGTGCTGCTCCAAATGAGTGAAATGGCTATTCAGTATTTAGATTACTTTGATCTGGCTGGCGAAAAACTAAGGATCAACTAGGGTGGTTTCTAACTACTCGAGTTGCTCAGTAGTAGTATCTATCTCCAGTTCATGATACGTTTACGTCACATATCATACCTTGTGATCTTTGCTAGGAGGTGCTTCCTAATGGAAGTCCTGTTGACATCATAGATTGAGAAATTTCAACGTGTACCGTTAAATTTGTAAATCATTTGCAAACTTATCAGTAGTTTATTCTGCTAGTTCATAACATTTATGGATGTATGTACCAGAAGTCCCGATTTGCCAATCATCTGGATGACTTTCAACGGGAACCTGATCACATAATATTTAAGTGATACAATAACTACTTTATGAAACCCAGATAGATTCTGTCCAGGCTGTTTTATCCTGCCCGAGGGATACAGTAACTCAGAGGGGCGAGCCAGATATCGTTTATAAAATCAACTACAATGACTGCGATCAACATTATGTTGGATAAAGTGATCACCTTCATCTACATGAAAATCAGTTGGCAAATAGACGTCACAACATTTCATTCCGTATATCAATATACGTTGGTAATTGCGAATATGACTTCTGTTTAGAAAGTATGGACAGAAGAACACAAAAAAAAGCAGAGAATTTCTAGAAGCTTGACAACCAGGTCAATTAACAATCAATTAAAAGCATAGATAGACATAATTCACCAATGAGGGAAATGATAAACAACTACAAGGTTAGACTTCAGGCAGAAAGACGCCCAATAAGAGAATATCTGTGTGATCAATGAAACAATAATCAGAAGAAAAACAATCGATCACTTATCAATATTTCAGTAAAAGTTATGTGGTCATTTGAGGAAGAATATTGGCAGCTCAATTCATACATAATTTAGTACTAACTATAAAGCCTAGGAAGATGATGAAAGTTTCACAAGATTAAAATCCTTCACTCTAGCTACAGATATCCTCTGGCTATGCCAGAAAGTCATACTTCAGTATAACTGGATCAAGAGACTGTTTATAAAATGAATAGATAGTCACTGATCACAATGCTGAGTGATGTAGGTTTAAGTCTCACAATGGACATCTGTTATTTCAAGGCTGGAGATCTGCGCTTGTGATGAGTGCGAATAACCACGAAACCGAAGTTAAGCAGAGCTTCTTGCAGATTGCTTTCAGCCAACTAACATCTACCATGATGAGCTTCCTAGCATAGTGCTTACATTGCAAAGTGATCGATAGAATTTGGTCAGCATTCAAGACTAGATAATATAAAATTGGTTACTCTCCATGTGCATAACGATTCCCTATTATTATGACTTTGAACTGAAGTAACTCGATGAGTTTTAAACTATCTGTCTTTCTTGTGTACATACATCTATGTATACATGGCTAGATTTATGAAAAGCTTATGTCTACAGAATTCATGAATATGAAGTGTTTGAATACTTTCAGTTTCTTTTCGTATTATTCTATAATCTACCTTCTTCACTTTCCACTTGATAGGTAAACTGGATTGCATTCACTAGTGAAATTATATGTATAGAGAATGTGTTTATACTCTTGGATTTCAGTACTATCAATGCCTTCATCAGCATATCTTAATCATATCGAATAAGTCGGACTAAGTTTTTCAAGTACCATCTGTTTTGAGTTACCTATTGATAAGACTGCTACGAAAGAGAATAATTTTAATCCCATCATAGCTCCTGGGTGTTCGCATATTTTCCTTTGATACTCAAAGATTGTAGATGTCGGACACTACAATATTTTCTAGCGTGATCTCCTTCATTGGTAGCTTAGTGCAAGGTATAAAATCAGGCCAATCATTAGACTCATTTCTAACTGCCTACAGTGCCTTGAGGATCGATTTATCGGTTCAAAGACTGATTGTTTCAAAAATGGCCCTTGTTTCACTGTCATATAATTTTATGTCATCTAATATTTGGATCATATAATAAAAATAAGTAAAAGCATATTCTTAGAGATTTCTAATTGGATCTAGCAACATTGCTAAATATGTAGACAAGTTGGAGTGTTTCTAAAATCTACTACAGCGGTTGGAGGATGACCTGGTTTATGAACCTTCATAGTACAATAAATCCTACTATTTTTCGGCATTAAATTAAACCACTTTAAACCTTCTAGAAACGGTTTCATTCGGTGTATTGAGTGTATTGTAGACTTGACTTTATTCTTAACAGTATTCACTAGGTTCTTCAACTCACCAAAAGTTTCTGTCTCTGTAAGTTCGTCGACTTCGAAAATGCAGTCAGTATTCCTCAGCATCACTACTAATCCATCGTTACCTGATCTAGTAGTTACCTTGTTGCTGAAGGTTCTTCAATCTTATAATTCCTTGTTTTGGTAGATTTTGTAGCGTTTTTTCTCTGTCATTTGAATATTGTTGCACACTGTGCTAAAATTTCATCTGCTGCTGTCTTAACTGCCGTACTCAATGTCATTTATCTACTTCAGGACTAACAGATTGAGTTCTCAATTCATTAAGCATTACTCTGAGACAAAGGCGTTTTTGAAACAGTTAGTCCCTTTTATGAATTTCGATAGCGTAATTAGAAGACGAAGTTTATCTGAGCAATGTGATGTATTTGCGCAATACATTTCGAACAATCTGATCACACATTTACTTGTCAAGTCAATATATATTAAACCGAGGACTTGGAGGGGGGATAAATACAACAATTAACACAATAGGGGATTAAAATTAAGAAAGATGAGGACAAACAGGAAGTGACATAGTTGGTCCTCATCTTTCTGAATTTTAATCCCCTATTGTGTTAATAGTTGTATTTATCCCCCCTCCAAGTCCTCGGTTTAATATATATTGACTTGACAAGTAAATGTGTGATCAGATTGTTCGAAATGTATTGCGCAAATACATCACAAAGGCCTTTCTCGAGCACTTTTACTTCTTTTCAGTCTGAGAAGTTTGACAGCTAACAGAAGGTACTTCAGGAGAAAAAAAATCAGTCTTAACAAATATATCTCCTCTTGTGTTGTAGTTTCGTAATAATGTGGTTTTTCCAAGCGTCTACTTCTACCGAACAGAGCTGTGAAACACTTCCTTGAAAAAATAGTCACACAACCTTCGTTAGTCAGTATTTGGACCCCCCCCCGCCATAAGGTGTGTAGTACGCAATGAGCCAAACCTGTATTCCAAGGGCTTATAATACCACCCACTTATCAGATAAGACCTCGGTGGGTGAGGCTGGGCTCGAACCTGTGACACAAGGGTCAGAATTCGAGTGTCTAGACAAATGAGCAGCAGAGCCACCCATCATGTGTTAAATGCTAATGATGCCCTCATTAAAAAAAGATTTAATCCTAACAACAATAGAAAGATTGGGTAAGCAGGTCTCTTAAACTGAAGTAACATTGAGATGCAGCGTTGTAATGAGAATTTTGTTTAGTGGTCGAATATAGCCACACATAGAGGCATTAATTATCCAACCATCGACTTATCAAATAACTCACCTTGAGGAAAAGAAGTACATTCGGTGGGACAACGAGATTCGAGCAACTCGACATACGACGATAAATTCTGAAACAGACAACAAAGTAAATACGTCACCATGGTATTTAAATATAAATATGATTTCAGAATACTATACTGTTTTTATAATGTGAACCGATGACTGTTCATCTCAGAATTTTAATCTGGCCTGGAGCTGTAAAAGTTCAGAGTAACGTGTAAAAACACCTAGAAAGTTTAGTACATTTCTATAAGCTCTGAAGTAGTCGAGTTCAGTTCTGCACAGAATCAACTGATATTTGAATAACTCAAATTGCTTATATCCTCCGCTTTTTAAAATATTTTTAGTTGTGTTGATGTGCGCCAGTAAAAACAAGTTTCTCTTGTTTCGTCAAACTGACCCCAACTAGGGAAACACTGAAAAATAGAAGTCTGTGGACAGCGTTTCATCCTAGGTTAGGTCTTCTTAACGATCCACACACGCTTACAGCTCCTGCAGGATTGGACGTTGAACCATCAAACCTAACAATACCTTATCATTCAGACGTTGGGTTGAAAGTAAATACTTGAATATTCCCACTATCCATCAACTTACTATGTAAAGCACAAATCATCCAAAGTCATTACTGATTACGTATCTAGACTTTTCTTGGTCTTGGCTGATGCTCCATTTCAAGAACTCCGAATTAAAATCAAATGAAATTCATTTTTAAACACTTTACGAAGAACCAGCAAATTATCAGTATCACTGTCTGAGAAAGCCATGATAAGGCAGATTCGTATTATTTGTACTGGGTGGTGATTGGAGGCGAAAAGAAAATCTGGACAGCGGTAGGATTCAAACTAGCTGCCTGTGGTGCTCTACCGAGTGAGCTAAGACATCCAGCCGTCGATCAGGTTTTCATTTTACCCCCAGTCATCACTCAGTATCAATACTAGTATGCCAAACCATGGCTGTCTCAGGTGGTCAGTATCGCACTCCTTTGGTACGGAATGGAAAGACCAAACTGAACAGCCAGTGTGAATGCGATAAACGAATGGTTACTTATCGCAAGTTTACACGGAAGCCGGCTAAAACTCTTGGTGATTCAGGTGGAATTAAAGTCTACTCACCAGCTGGGTATCGTAGCTCCATTCCTAAACCACCAGGCTGGCAACCCTGAAGCTGTGACCCAGATCTTTCCTTTTTCAGTTATCACCCAGTATTAATAAAACAATTGGCTGCTGTTAAGTTTTACAGCTTCCAGTGATTTGACTGACCTCAGGAAGGTTTCTTTAGACAAGTGATATCAACTGTAGTACCTATGGGAGCTGGGAACCACTAGATAATTGTTTCATTCCAATACAAACTAATCATGCGCTTTCAATTATTTTCCGTTAGTTCTGATGGTGTCTTCAAGCCCGGCGGTGAGACATGCATGACAAAATACCAACCTTCAGAACAAACAAAACCAGCCACATTCTCAGCTACAAATCCTTTCCACCCCTTTTATACTTAACCTTATATTTATCCAGGACGCACACTTCGTCCTTCTTGGGAGTCGCCAGCTGAATGTTCTGCGCCCTAGTAGGTGATATTGTTCCTACTGGGACTCGAACTCTGTACCCATCGCTTCAATCGTTAAAGCGTTATCCACCAGGCCACTGGGGCACAGAAGTCACCACATATGCTATGGGTATTGGTTATTGTTTGATACTTGTAATTTTCCGTTTCTTTACTGGGTAGAATTGCTCCACTAGGATGAAACGCACATCCTAGTTTCCACTGCAAGTCATCAGGATGAATACAACATCACGAAATTCCAACAGTGTCGAAACATCCAATTAGGAACCCATCTACTAGCATTGGCTGAACAGTTCGAACCCGTTGAGCAACCGGAAATTGCAGGTATCGATTCGATATTTTCTCAAGGTGTCGGCAAAAAATGCAGATAAATGTGAATGCGAAGTCCTGATAATAGTACAGATCGTATTTAATGTCATTGGCGTACAGTTTTACCAGGAAACTATAAAGAATCAATTATAAAGTTCAGTGTGAGATCACGGACAAGTAACGAATATTTCCAGATTGTTATCATGTTTGAACTGTGGGATCTGATTTATCTTCACCTATTATTTAAACATTGAATAACTTGCACAGGTATTCTTCCCTGAAGAAGAGGCTTTCATGAGGTCATGAAACCTTAGAAACTTATTTTTCTACCTCATTAGGACTTTACAAATATATTTCCTTTACAATTCATTCACCAAACGCTAAACTTATATAATTCTATCAGGTCAGATTTTGATCTTGAAACATGTAAGAGACAAGTTTCATGACCTTCGTTTCCGTTGCAACAATTTGAATGTGCACTTAGTGACCAAATAACGTCGAATTTAGTCGATAGAGATCAGCAGTTAGGTTTAGGATTCAAAGCCTTGGATTTTATAGGTATTTGAAGTTGAACAAGCTGATTTTATCAATGATGATGATTATGATTTTCTGCACCGAGTTGGTTACCCATAGTAGGTGTCATTACCGGCGGAAGCCAAATGTCTCAACTCCAATATTTGAAAACGTTTTTGATGAATTCAGAAACTTTATTCCCCTTGATCGTTTATACAGTCTTTTAACTATAAAAACGATTCCATTGAAGAAAACTATTGAAAACCAAGTCTTAGAAGATCACCATCATCCCTCCACTATCTTTTGGTTAGAACATCGTTTAACCACTTAGTATTGAGTTAGAACTTGGTGTTTTCTGTTAATTACTCAGGCGATGATACTTTATGACAGACAACTCTACTTTGTCTCTTTATTTGAATATTCATGTTATGTACAAGAGTCGGGTTACAATCTCATTAGAAAACTATAAACTCTTGTCACTGGTAGAAAGAATTTTAATATTTTCAGTATCAGAACGTTTATGACGAAACATTCCTTTGATAAACCAATACAATTACGTTTTAATTTATAAACAATCGGAAGTATTTTTAATTTCGAGAAAATGTCACACATTCATCGAGTGCTAATGTCTATTTTCCGTGTTGTACTCCTAACACTAAGTTCATCCTGGTTCCAATTTTCCCCTTTTGCTAAGCATTGGTACCCTATCTATTTACAGTTAAAATCTCTCACACACACACGATGGTTAGTTCATACTAAACTACTTGAATTTATAAGTTACTTTAAAAGTGTCCATAACACTGACTGAAATAATCAGTTAAGTTTTTTATTTCGGCTTTAAAAACAAAAATGCGGAAACCTAATTAGTTGTATCAGTAGTTGTTGGGGTCGCCTTTAAATTCCCTTTAGTTTAAGGTAACCCACCATATTCCATGTGTTTCTATGTGAATTTTTGAAATAGTATCACTATTAAATCGATCTTTATGATGTTTGTTTCGACAATGTACTCTTTGTATGAAATGTTAGAGGTCACTGGTAACTGGAAGACTTGCTTGACCGATGTGTCTTACATGTCGACACTCTTCAAGACGGAGTATATGGAGTTTAGAGAAAACTCATACTCCATGGAAGATTTGGAAAGTGTTGAAGTTGAAGATAACACCACTAAGCTATTCAGTTCATGAATGATTTCCTGTATTAGTGGGGTATGCAAAGCAATCTGTGACTGTAATGAAAACCCATGTAGCTCTCATTCCTATTCGCTGAGCACTGTTCGAAACTTATCAGTGAGATATACAATATGGCCACTAAACAAAGCATTGCAACACTATGCGGTAGTGTGTTTCAATATCAGATTTTATTATCTAATAAGAGAAAAGTAACTTGACGCCAGCTGATAATTCAATACTGGTAGAAGTCAGGGAATTTGTTAACAAACATTTGCACTGCATTACATATGATATCGAACAGCCAGCTCTCTAAACTTTGTATTTTCCATGTTAATCCAGATTAGAATTTTTATATCAGAGAACACAGAGAAAACTGCTAATGAACAGTGGTAAAGAGTAAAGGTAAGTGAGCGGTTCGTCTTACTCTACTCTCAAAATTCAAAGGATATAAGGCTGAATAGGAATTATTGTTATGATAGGTTGGCTTCAACTTATTCAAAGACTTCTCAGTTTTTAGAATCAAAACCATATAGTCATTAGTTGTTAAACTTTGCGCTACATAGCTCACATTACACAACTGGCTTCACATAAATACACTTAAAGGCTTCGTTTTCTAGGGGAAAAGAAGCTATAAAATAGTCAGAAAACACTTTTGTAATTGACTGACTCACCTTTCAACAAATATTCCAGCTCTAATTGCATTCGCAACACTACGGAATCTAGGCTTCTGGTCACCAATTCCAACATTTTGTACAGTACGTGTAAATGTAGATGCAAGCCAGTTGCGTACTTCATCAGGAACATATTCTGTGGCAGCTTCAGAAAGATCTTCTTCTTCCTCACGAATACGTCTGGAAAAAATGATGAAAACTTGATTAGTTTAAAAAACGTTTTTCAATTTCCAAGGGATCATGTTGTTTGATATAGTTTAGAATTATGAAACATTATTTTTACCGAATAAGTTGGGCATGTCAGTCTGATATGGGCTTACGCAGGTTATCAAGGTAGTCCAGAACTTACAGCAGATGACTCAGACGTGTCTATTGCAGTTAGACAACTGCGATGAGGTAATGGTCACCAACGCGGCCGTTTTGTTTCATGACCGGAGTCACTAACTAGGATAGATAATGAAATAATAGATTATTCTCCTCAGTCAACCATCTCTAAGCTTCAGAAGATTGGACTAGATAAAGTTGGTTGTGCAATAGCCTTAGACTATATAGATGATAGGTTTGACCTATATCTTAGTGCCTCCTATTCTACCTACTTGATTCACTTAACTGATCTTTAACTACCCAATAGTTATTTCCGTGTATGACGGGGTGTTGTTTATGTAGTTATACCTAATGGTGCGATAGACTGTACCAAACAATCGAATAAGTAGCCTCAGTATCTAATAGAAATCTCTAACTAATCATGTTGCTTGTATTATCCCATCGTTGAGTGGACCGAATTGATCGGTCTATATTGCCATAAAAGCCACAGCAATAAAACTATACCTGCCGCACAACTAGTGGTTGTCGTGACTCAGTGGCCTAGTAAATAATGCCGTTTCGCCTGGAGTAATCGGTCCCCAGTTCAAGTCCGGGAGGGAACAACACTCACTGTGAGGTAGGCACATCCAGCTTATGAGTCCAGAATAGGACGAAACGGGCGTCAAGTTGGATCCCACTGCTGGTCACTATCCATCATTAAAATTAACTAACTATACTTCCTCAATGTTCATTTGAAAAGATTCTGAAAAGATCAGAAAAATAATCCAGTAACGGATTCGTTTTTGTGGCTCTCTTCAAATACGAATATGAAAAATAACTATTTTCAATGTAATGACTTTGGTCCCCTTCAAAATTTTCTGTACTTAAAAAACATGAAGCATACAGTAAACAGGAAACTTGATTTATAAAGATTATTCTGAACTGTACTTCACTTACCCCCTTTCATGAATTTCGATAGTATGGTTAGAACACTAAGTTTATCTGATGATATGATTTAATGTGATATAATGTATTTGCAGGGTGTGTGTGTGTGTGCCAATATTGATGTGCACCGACAAAGTACACTTCGCGGTGTTGCTATGGGTAGTCCATTAGGACCATTACTAGCTGATATTGATACATCATATATCATTGAAGTCTCTCTTTCCAAAAGATAAGTTGATGACATCATAGTAATTTGTAAGAGATATGAGGATATGGCTTGTCTAATCAAAGGAGTTAACACCGTACAAACTCACATCAGCCTGACTTGTGAGAAAGAGAATAATAATCACCTACCATTCTTAGACATACTCCTGAGTCGACGAGAAGATGGTTCATTTAAGACGGTCTAGTTTACAGAAAGTCTACATGGACAGGACAATACCTGAATTTTCACAGTTTTGTCTAATCCAATACAATCGAGGTCTAATAAAATGCCTCTTTATTAGGGTCTATCGTATCAGTACACCAGATACGATAGATGATGACACCAAATCACTGACTAAAGCACTTATGGAAAATGGGTATCCGATGAAGTTTACAAATCGTTGTAGACGTCAAGTAGCACCAAAGCCAACTCTATATGCAATCCCTAAGGGTAGCGTCCATATCACTCTACCAAACAGAGAGGAGTTGAATAGTATCATTTTCAGAGGTAGTCCGACATCAGTCATTGAGAAAACAGATTACGTGGCCAATCTTATCATTATGGAAAAAAACAAAATACATACTTCTTCACAATCCTAAACACTACATCAATGATTACGTCACATCCCATTGTGTTTACCAATTTCAATGTGTATGTGGTCACACATACATAGGGAGGAGTAATCGAGTCATGCTGGGTCATGAGGGTAGGAGAACATGTGCCTAAATGGCTTTAAAATAAATAGAGTATGAAACAGTGATAAACGCCGGTGGGAGATGACCCTCTTCATCTATAGCTAAACATATCATAGAAACAGGTCACAAAGTTAGTGTTCAAACAGTTTTCAAAGTTTTATATAGAAAGAGTCAGTCAGGAACGCATTGTGAGATTTACTCAAGCCATACCCATACACAAATTGAAACCACCTTTATGTGTACGAAAATAATTTGTTTTTACACTACACCTACCTAGGTAAACTTTGTTTTCTTACCAAGAATCAACGGAGGATCAACTATGTCGCACTCTTCCAGTTTGTTCTCACCTTTCTTAATTTTAATCCCTATTATTGTGTTAACTGTTGTATTTGTCCCCCACTCCTCGGTTTAATATATATTTACCTGACAAGTAAATGTGTGATCAGATTGTTGGGAATGCATTGTGCAAATACACCACCCACATTGTTCAGATAAACTTCGTCTTCTAGTTACGCTGTCGAAATAATTTTTTTCACCTGTGTTATGTAGCGGAAAGTACTGATGCTAAGGTGATTTTTCACAATTCAGGTGATATGAAATGGTAGAATGTTTTCAGAAATAAGGATCACGGTAATCATGGAAGCGGAAACTGATCATTACTTATTGACTACTCAGTTACCACTTCCTATTACTTTGGTGAAGGTTGGCTGGAAGAGACATCGAGATAAACTGGACATCTGTCTAATTAGGAGTAAATCAGAAGGCTTTGAAACTATCACAGTATCTAGATTCTTAGATAGGATGATCAGTTGCTAAGTGATTTATAAACTACATGATCCACTTTAAGATTTATCACCATTAAGTAGCTTTTTACCTAGTGAACTGCGGTGTCAACAAGTTTCAGTTGCAAACCACAACTTAGCAAAAGGTCACAAGGTGTGAACTCTGACACAGAAGTGTCATGAGCTATAAAGTATACTACTGAACAAAATCAGAGCTATAAACCAACATCACTGATCTGTATATTCCGCTAACCAGATCAGATTGGTCTACAAGTGATCATCTCATTTAAGGTATAGTCCACGTAAATTAGCTAACCAGATTCAGTCGGTACGATCATTTTGGCCATCTGAGCTGAATTTCCACAGATACGCCGCCAGTGAGCTTGGTTCAAAACGAGCGAAGCTGCGAGATCTGTATATCAGCGTGGTAGTTTCTAAGCCTCATGTCGTTCGATAGTATATTCTGATATCTGCAACCATAAATGAAAATATTTAAAATGAATGTGTGGTTTACTTGGCATTTGTTTAAATGTGTACAACCTTACAATGGTAAGTCGAATCCTTTTCCCATGGACTGCAAACTAAAGAAGCTGAAAAGCAGCTTGGAATGTGTAAGAACGTAGAAATAATTGAACCTCACTGTTGGCAGTCACAAGAAATGTGTTAATCTTGGAAGACAAAGCGAACATGGAAGTCATCTATTTCTCTGTATAAAGAGGAATTATAAACAATATCATATTGATCTTGGTGACTAGTAGAGGGATCTAGGAAGCGCATCTCGTCAATTCGGGACTCGTCAGCTGAATGTGCCCGCATCCCAGTGAGTGACGTTGTTCCCACACATGCTCGAACCCAGTACCCTTCGCTTCAAGCACCAGAGCGTTATCCACTAACCTACTGGAGCACGATGGTCACCTTTTGTGCAACGGATAAAAGTTGTTGTAATGATACGAGATTTCTCTGCCAGTCACCACGATCAACATAACTTCATTAATATTCGGCAGTATCGAGAGATTACAAACAATGTATTTTGGCTAACATGGCTTCCAATGCAATTTTGTCTTGAACAGTCTGATAGAATCAGCTAAGTGAGCCAATTTTGTTCAGCATCTATCATCAGAAACCAAAAGTAACTAGTCTACAACTTCTTATAGTCCTGCATAAGTGATCCTATTCAACACCTACCAACTTCACTGAAATCCAGTGGTAAATGCTTGCCTACCTTTATTAATTAACTGAACTGAATGACCACTATACAGTGTTCGCAGTGAAAAAATTTCTCTATATGTCATATTTTTCACCCCATAGACAATAGCCTCCCTTCATAACTTCCAGGGGTACATCTCTAGTTATATGTTGAGTTACAGTACAAAGTGTGCTCAGTGTCTCTGTCATCAAAACAGACTCATTGACATTGAAATAGGCTGGTCAGTCTAATAGAAGCGTTTCACCTACAGTACTGCACTTAACCTAGTGAACCTAAAACAGCTGCTGTAAGTGGGTATTCTAGTTAATAACGTGTATAAACTTAAGACGAAGCGCGTTAAGTTTTTCTCTTAGCAAGAATCTTACATCAGATATTATTTGACTGCTTTCAGTAATTGAATATTGTAACTTGGATGCTTCTTGAAGTACTGTACATCTATGGTTATTATCCAGTTGTTTCTATGAAGAAAATCATAAACTCGTATTATATAAACACGGACATGGGTTGACTGGACATGCAGTTTCTCTAGCAGCTATAAATATTGATTGCAACTAAGTAACATACTAACCATAATGAAAAATTTAACAGTAGGATTCAGTCAGTACTAGCAACTAGACAGCAAGTTGTCCCTTCCTCTTCACTGAGAGATGCTAGTCAGCTAGCCAGATTCCGGGGCTCTGAACTGGTTCAACTATATGAACTGAATTTTTTCAGGCAGACTGCTGATCAGCTGGTTCAGCCTTAAGCAAAATAAACTATCGTTTCGGTGTTCAGACTCCTCTTATCTTGCTGGAGAAATCCAACGACTCATGCTTTTCAGTAGTTTATTTTTCGCAGATGTGTGTATTTGATTCACGCTTACGCTGAGTAGCTCACTTCAAGCATCATTATTTGCCCTGCAAATTATATCGTTAAAAGAGAATATATTTTCTTTTCTTTGATAGACAAGTATAAGCTGAGATAAAGTATACTTTGTCGTCGATTAGTGCCACATCTCTTACAAGAAGTAAATTTTTCCCAGGAAATTCACACTGTTTACCTTCATTTACCATTCTCCTTTATTGTTTGTGAAGGTCCATTATCTTCCTAACATCTGGCATTCAATAAATTGCTAGGCCTGTGTTCCCTGCAACAATCATCATTTCATAGCGTCATATCAAATACCTATTGAAAATCACATGCATGCTAATAGATCCAGGGATCAGTAAGACACTGAATCTTTAAAGTAATTTTAGAAAGTTGAATTATCTGAAGACACTTTAAAAGCATCGAATTCGTATTTTCTGTTTAACTGGGACACATTCACGTGTAGGTTCTTTATATTGACGAAAACAAGGAATTTGTAGTACTCCGAACCTGACAACATGATGGCAATAATTGACGTGCTAAATATCAGGAAATTTAAGGAACATCATGACGTATTATTCAACTCCAAGAATCTTTGCTTTCCCAAAAGATCTTCCATTCACTTTTATCTGGAAGATGTAGATTTTTAATAAAACAGTAGTGTTTGAAATACGGAAGTTTCCGATGAATCTGAAAATTTTACTTGTCACATAACTCGGTGATAGATAGTCACTTTCTACTTCTTTACCTTTCCTAGGCATCCAGCATATATGTATTTAATTTTTCAGGTTGTCCTTGTCACGGCCTGACATCACTTGGACAACCATTTAAAACCTGAGAAAAGTGGACAGACGTTTCATCCTAGTATGGGACTCCTCAGCAGTTTGTATACCTCCAGGGGTTGGACTCAAAACCTTCAGATTTCACGGCAAATGTGTTAACCATTCACTGGGTACATACTATTGAAGAGACCTATACTAAGAGACAAACAGCTGTCCAATACTCCCAGGTTTTCAGTGGTTCTCCAACTAATGTCAGTCCTTGATGGTTGTAACGTTAAAATAAAGTCTTCATAGACCTCAAGCCACATATATGTACTGATCCTCTGTCTCTTTCATATTTATGAGAAATTCTAAGATCATTAACCTGAATTCAGATCTAAATCCATACTAGTGAATCATCAAAGATCAGGCATCCTGAAAATTCTGCAATAATTCCATCACGCTTCAGCTTGTTTGACAATTCTGTTAAGGAATCACTTAGTAGCCTTCAACAGAGATAATACAATGGAGTCCTTCTCATTAATTGAAACTTCCTCAGAGACTTGATGATACTGTCTTTTAAAGGGTAGATAAGCTTGAGTAAAACATTGAATCAACACATTTCATTGTGTTTAAGATTTTGAAACTTGCATTGACAAAAATCCACAGCAAAAATCTTGATAAGTGCCTTCAATATATAAATCAGTAACATCACTTTGGCCATGTAATATCAGCGTTTTTTTTGAAAGATTCCAATAAAATGGCAACCAGATATTCCGGCGAACCAACTTACAGTAAACAGATTTACTCCAGTTATACGAGATTTATGGTTGATCTGATGACATTTGAAACATCTCGGAGGAATATTTTGTTCGGGAGTATTAATTTAAGAAATGAAAAGTATGGGGTGAAGGTTTGTTTACAACATGGTGGTGATAAGGTAGATGACCTAGATAACCACTATAATGACTGGTCACAGGAGAGTAACTATTTTCATCAGTGACCGAACTATATCGATCATTTTGCAATATGGTCGTGAAGCTAAAGGACTCACTATCATATTGGTTGGTTGGAGGCAATCGTCAGACAGCTGTGCTTGATATAGGCCTTCAGCTTATTGGGGATCTTCAGCAAGGCGTATCTGCAACCTCAAGATAAGTGGCATCCCCTGTGGGATTCGAAGAAGTCCTACAACAAGTCAGTTGTGGCCCGCATAACTTAGTGATAACATCTCAAATTATGACACTGGATAACGTGGGTTGAAATCTCACAGTGCTAATCACTTACCTCGAGGTTGCAGAAACACCTTACTGACGAGTGCCAACAAACATGTAACCTATGTCAATTAGGGCTTCCTGCAGGTTGCCTAAATCCTTTATTTTCATATTATATATGAATTTTACGTGATTTTTTTTATCTAAACAAACTGTTAAGTCTTGTTTAAAAAACTTGGAGGTATGGGGCATACTCAACTTCTTAGAAAGAGGAATTCACGACCTTCACTCCATCATATGTGTACTTATTCCTTATGCTAAGTCAACAAGGTTAAACTATTAGAACTCTAAGATTAGGCTTTTTATGATGCATAGACCATCAGTAGCCATCCCTTGTAACCTTCTACATATTTCATCAGAGAACCTCGTGAAAAAACATTTGAAAAAGTGACCAATATTGTTTAAATTTTGACAGTCTTTTACCAAGAAAAGAGGTATAGTAGTAGTTATCATCATCATATCGTGGAAAAATTCTCTTTTTCCTTCTATCCGACTGTTTAGTAATCCATAGATCTTCTGATAAATGATAGTCTCAATAATTCAGCTATGCTACAACTCTGACAATGATATAAACGCTTGTCAGATTATCACAGACCATAAATCATAGAATATATGAATAGAATTTACATACTGTTGTGGCTTATGTTATCCTATCATTGACTGAACTGAAGTGATAGGTCTCTGTTGGCATATGAGCTCCTGAGCAAACGCCTTGATACTCCTTGTGTTTGGATTATATATTAATGATGGATGGTGGCTAGCAGTGGAATCCAGGACGCAAGTGACAACTGTACAACTATACCCGTCGTACAAAAGTGGCCGTCGTGACTCTGTGGTCTAGCGGATAAGGTTGTTCCGTTTGAAGTGATCGGTTTGAAGTTTGAGTCCTAGTAGGAACAACACAGCTGATTGGGAGGCAGTTATACCCAGCTGATATGTCCCGAATAGGACGAAACTTGCATCACACTAGATTCCACTACTAGCCACTATCCTTCATTAATTAGGATTTACATATTTTAAGAATAATATTGATAATAAGATGTTACATAATAAAGTAGTGAACTTACCGTTTTTCAGCTATATACGCATTTTCCATAACGTTTATACAATACTGTATATTCTTTAACAGTGTCGCCTTACCTATACGATCAACTTCGATCATTCGATAGATATGACGCATTCTTAACACAAAAACAAACAAAATATAGAAGTCAACAAATTGATTAGTAATTTCAGGCAAAACATACATTATAAATGTCCTGCATTTTAGGAAAGGTAAGGGAAAGGAATCAAATATGGAAATGTATATGTATACATGTCATGATATATGTCCAGTCATGAAAATGTTTTACTAACACTAATAATCAATAAAGGTTTGACTTTCACTTGTATAAATCTACAGTCCTAGTGATATTTGTGTTTACACTGTCTGTTAAAAAAGAAATAGTAGTAAATAACCTTTTATCCCTTGATCACAACGACGGTTTTAGCCAGTCTTCAATCAGGAATGAAGTTAAGATACTTAGTTCTCTCTGATTAAAGAAAATAAGGTCTGGGTAGATATTGAGAGAGGAACCAGACAACAATTTAATGAATATCCTAGCCCACTGACTAGGTTGCGTTTTACAATGAATAATGAAGAAATAGAGGACGACCAATTCTAGGATTTACTTGTTTCTATGATGGAACCAGCCAACTCTTAGAAATTCTAGCAGATATTACCTTGACAGTCTTGTGTTCGAATCCTAAAAGTGTAATGGATAAATTTTTTTAACGTTTTGCACACACTTTGCTGATAATTGGCCGACAATATGCAAACAGAAGTAGTAATGATGGTTAATGGCTAGCAGTGGAATCCAGGACACGCGTTTCGTACCGTATAGGACTTGTCAGCTGTATGAACCAGCCGCCTAGTAAGTGATATTTTCCCCACTGAGACTCGAACCCAGTACTCATTGCTTCGAACGCTAAAGTGTTATCCACTTGGCCATTGAATGACCTCGAGAGCGCACAAAAATATGCTTAGTAAAAACGTGTATTTGGAGACTTAAATCCTCCTACTTGTTTTAACAAATGACAGCAATCAACGAAGTAGAGCATATCACCAATTTTTCTATGTGCTCTTCTACCGAGCATCGTGTTATCACTTGGTACTCAGTATAAAGGTTTTAAGAAGAATTTACGCCATTACATCAACATTGAACTTTTATGACAAAATAATTTCCGTCGTCGTAAAGAAGATTTAGAGCTCAGAATGAGAATGACAATTGTTTAGTGTTCTTCGAGCTTTGGACTATATTTTTGACCTTTTCATCACCAGGTTGAGCGAGTTGTATGCCATTAACTGCTGGAGGAAGTGAAGCATTTTTACGAAGGATATTCTCTGACCTTCAGTGTTATTGGCTTCCGGGTAGGATCAACCTTTTATTCTTTTTTATCAGAGGTTGTTCTTGATAACATCTGTTGTCATTTTACCTATGTTGTTGACTTAGTATCTAATTACTGATTTCCTTGGATGATTTCCAATTGATTTTCCCCTTCTTAGTGTTGCGTATTTTGATTAGGCCAATGTCCACGTCTCAATCAACTGCCATTTGACTGGAGAACCATACTTCTATGAACTTTCAAGCTGTTTTTTAGGTTAATTGTTGTAGTATTTCTATGCTCTCATAATCAAAATTGTGGTTGTGTTCATCTGCATGCATCGATATCAATGAGGATATATCAGGTGGTTTCACTGCAAGCAAATCTACATTAATTTTTCGGAATGTTCGATGACTGGATGGGTCGATATGTAGCGGTGTTGATAGTCTGTTTGGTAGAATGATTCGTTTCGCGGGTTAAGGTAATTGTCCTGATATGTGTTCTGTTGATAGGTATTTCTCGATGAAACTGACGGGATAACCATTGACTCAACACTTTGCAAAGGTTGTTTTCTTCTGACTTTTGCAGTTGCTGAGTGCTGCAATGAATTTTGGCATAAGAGAACAGTGTGTGTACATGACTCTTCTTATGAGACGTTGAGTTGCTACTGCTATAATTCAAAACTTGATTTGTGTATGTCACCTTCCTACACATTTGAACCAATACGGTCCAATAACATGTTATTCTAGGCATTTACTTCCTGTTTTTTTGTGAAACTGAGAAACTCTCACGTCCTTCAAAAATGCTTCTTAATGAACTTATAAACTTTACAGAACAAATGACGTTCAAATGATGCAAATAACACTTATGTGTGTGTTTTATTAAAATCCTTTTTGGTAATTTTTTTTCAAAAGCAGCGCTACAAATTAACGAGATGTATGTAGTTGCTTGGTCACCTTCACTTGATATTTTTCCTAAACGTTTTTAGATAATGAAGTTAATCGTAAATGTATAAATCAAAACTTCTTTTGTTCATGGTGCATATTTTAAAGAAACGGTCATTAAGTGAATGAGATATCCAAAATGGTAGAGGAGTATATCACCTCCTCAACATATGTAGCATGTTCAATGAACAATCGCTTGACACTGGAATCAGTTTTATGCATAAGTTTTGGAGCTTAATAGATAGAATTAGGTATTTTGATTAGGATTCAGTACATTTTTACCATGAATTTGTAGGAAAATTTGTTTACATACTAGATGATTCGTTAATGGATTACGATAATATCTTGTTAAGCTAGAACCTAGAGTCATTTGAAGACCGGTCAGAGCCCGCTTTTTCTTTACATGATAGCATGCTGAAAAACTATTCTGAACATATAAGTTCCTTAACTATGAAAAGTGAAATAGTCAGCAGTATTTAAGTGAACTGAACAGTTGCATTAAGTGTCACAAATTTAGGGTTAATGAAGTTTCCGTGTGCGCTTGCAGATTTCAGCTAATAGTAATAACTTTAAACTATTTATATCACTGGTGACATAATATACTTCCCCACCAACCTCTCAGAGTTCATTGTCAACTTAGTTCTAGCGTACTACTGTAATTTCAGCCTATAAAACAGTTAAGCATTAACTTGACTGTGACATTACAAAGTTTAAAAGAGTTTTGCTAACACAGAAATGTCATCTGATAGCTGTGACGATAGCCTACAGTTATCACGGACTGACATCAGTTGGAGACCCATTGAAAAGCTGGGAGCACTAGTATCAGTCTCCTCAGCAGCGCACCTACAACTCCTTCAGGGATCGCAGTCAAGGCCTTCTGGCTTCCTGGAGAACGCATTACCCATCCAGCCTCTGGACCACAGTTCGGTGGTCCACAGTTTCCTGTCAATTTGCGATATAGGACGACTATCCATCAAGGTCTTCTTTGAGTATCCACTTCAATTCTGACTAAATGATGTCACCGGTCATGGCTTCTCCTTACAACCTCGGAAAATTTCATCTAGATGCATGTCACTAGTGAGCACTAAACAGCGATGTATTTTGAGATTATCAGAAATCTTTTTCAGGGTAGTATTCATCATACGTCGAGGTTTCTATTCTCAACTTCTAATGGGAAGACGTGACCTGTGGGACCAACCAATTGGAAATGACGCAGTTGATAGCTGAAGACCTTGATGAATGGCTAACGCACCTGCCTTGAATGCTGAAAATTCTGAGTTGGTTCCCCAACGATATCGTAGGTGTGTACTACTGAAGATTCGCACACTAGAACGAAACAGCTGCCAGCGTTCCCACATTTTTTATGGTTCTCCGATTTATTTCAGCCTGTGATGAAAATCTCCTTAAAAATGAAGTCCTCAATAACTTCAAAATACCTGAAGTAATGGTTAGAAATTGTTAGCAAGTGTACAAACCTCTTCACTGTTCACCTTACTTTCATTTGCAGATCAAGGCGATCTTTGTGGGGAAACCTACTGATTATCATGAATGATTTCTAAATCCCTACATTAATGGATAGTGCATGTTACATAACGATAATGTTACAGAATTCATTTGAATGGAACACTAAGCAATAAATTTTTCATCATCTATGTTACGCTAATTTTGGGTTACAAAATAGTAAAATCTTACTCTTTCAGCAAAATTTTTTATTAAAAGTAAATAAAATCCGTTACTAGATTGAAATTTTGCCAAGGTCACCCTCCATCGAGAGGAACTTCATTTAACGACAAGAACACTGGTCGACAGTGATGACATTTAACCAATTAAGTCCTATTTCAGCTGCGGAATGATGTTTGAAGGTGATATGAAAACCTAAACCATGTCAGAATTCAAAATAGTGGGCTCCAGACGAACGGCCCTCCACTCTTCCAGCTGAGCTATGATATTCAGCTGATGAAAACATCTTAACGCCACTTCAACCGCCTAGATTTTCACCAAGCTATCAGTTGACTGTCAGATATGCAACTGCTTATTCCTCGTAATCACAGTTTCGCCTAGTCAGGACTTCTCTTTGAAAATCAAATCAAGCTGAATTACAGGAGGAGAGTATCGTATTTATTGTTACCGTGACCATCTCCGATATTTCTGGTTAACCAGTCTGGTATTATTGAAATGAGAGTCCACTAGACTATAATTATCTCAAACAGACCCACCAGGAAACCTTTATGAATGCTTCTTAAAACCTTATACCTAATAGATATGTAAGCTTGTTGTTCATTTCATTGTCTATTCACCTAACTACTAATTTGCTGGTCATCTTACTGGGATGATGATTAAATTAACTAAAAGCTAACTGACTTGTTCTACGATAACTACAATATTACTCCATTCACATTAATATCAACGGATTTCAGTATCCACCTGGCTTCACTCTGCAGTAAATAGCAGCTAGATCCCGTAGCTCTACTGATAGGACAGCGGGTTGATAACCTACAGACGGTTGGTTCAAATCCTGTTGCGGCCCAGATTCTCACTTCACCCAGTATAAATAGAAAAAAGTAGTGAAGTTCCACTCTCTTAGCAGTATTTTATGACTGAAAGCAAAGGAAATGACTTGTTAAGTTAAAACTTTTACAACATCACACTAAAACGAGAGAAGTCTTATACGGTGACACTAGTACTAGTTGCTGAATAATCATTAAACTGAGTTCATATGCACATTTACCTGACGTAACATGCTCTTAAGGATTCAGGTGTATTTACTGATCTTAGCATATCTGTATCATTTGGTATTTGCGCATACTGACCCAAAGTGCAGGTCGTCAAATTCTTGTAGAAAAATTGAGATACACCTGACACTACACATTCCATATCGATTTCTTCGTCTGTAGCCATATTTTCCACAGTTCTTAGTGGTATATCCTTTTGTCCTAGAAGAGAATAACAATCAGAATATTATCAGTATTATTTCTAAATGTATACATTATATTCTAAAGGCCTACTGAATATAAGAAAACAAGTGCTAAGATATCTTTGACTGACAGATAAATCTTTGTACTGTCCGATAAAGATTGAATTCACAGGAAGACCTTAGTCTTCCTAAGGTACCAGTGTCAGTGACTTTCAAGTCACTTGCTTTGTAGTTCAGTCAGTAAATATTACGGTTACAAACCCTCAGAACCCTGGAGGGTATACTGGATGTGTCAGGATTTTCTGTAATATCATTCATCGTTTTCACTTACCTAGGAGATTGATAAACAGAATATATTTCCTGAGTTTCACCTTTAGATTTTCATCTCTTCTAATTTGTTTGAGAACGCTTCAATCATATAATTCAACCTTTAGTTAAACGTATTTATTATTATTATCTTCCCTTGGGTTTCAAGTGGAACATAGGGCTTCACTTGCGCATCTCCATTTCTGTCTCTTCTCTACAGTCTTTTGAACCTGGCTCCATGACTTTCCATAAAGTTTCATTTCTTCCTCACACAATCTCCTCCATGTCACCCTCGTCTCCGACGCCCAACTCGTCGTTTCCCCTTTGGATTCCACTCGAGGTATTGACGCGTGATGTCCCCGAATGGTCTTCTCAGTATATGCCCAATCCATCTCCACTTTCTTCTGGATATTTCCTCGGCGATGGGTTATTGGTGGTCCGTTGCCAGGCCAGAGTTCCTTGTTGCTTATTCTTTCTGGCCATTTGATCTTCAGCATTGAGCGTAGGCATTTAGTAGGAGATAATGTATATCAGGTTTTTATAGGACATAAGTGTTTCATTTAATTTGGCTAGGAAAAATAACTGAAAACCTAGTCGCAAAGCCTTCCGCCAATCGCCTTTTACTATTCAGTAATAGTGGAAATTACAAGAAATGAACGGAAGACGGTGGTAACTATTATCATCTTAATACCATTTCGCAAAGTCAGTGGTTTATGTTTACATTCGGTCATCAATGTTCGACCAATGTAGTTGTTCAGGTTCTAGGAGCTCAGCAATTGTTGAAGTCTAGTGATCAACTTTTACAGTTCTGCTACTGAATTAAGTGATGTTACACTACTCAGCAGTGTACTTCGGTGTTAGATATCAGGAGTCAGTTGTTAGGAAGCCACAAACATTTGGCAATTAGTAGACATAAACTAATTTTACAGCGGTTCATTTGTGGCCTGAATTCTCTGACGTTAGAACTGAGTAATGCATATTTGAATAACCGAAGGAACACTAATTTGTACACAACTGTGGGTGGACCTCACAATTGTTAGCAAGCAGAAAACTTAAATAAACTGACATACAAGATTTAGTACTAAATGATTAAATAGTCCAACATGAATGTTGAGTTTTAATTGTCTCACTTGCATCATTTTATAATATCCCACAGAAATAAAACCTTATATTTAGTGGCTATCTAAAAATATTTGTCTTATCTCTGACTGACTTTTCGTTATCTGATAACCAGTCCACATCTCTTTCCACCTTCCATGTGTCGTATACATTTCTATTCCTTTAGAAGTTTTTTTTAACATAGTTTATTCGCCTCAAATGTATTACAAAGTGAATACAACTGACTGTGGTGTAGCAACAATTTGTATTTTCCAGTTGAAGTAAATTCCATAAATTGAAGCATTGTCAATTGTTCTATGTTAGCCGAGTAGAGTTGTGAAGGAAGCTGTTAACCAGTGATTTCACTGCTAGATTTCACATCAAGAATGTTGACCACACAGTTCACAACTTTGTCTGATTTCAGTTGATGAGCTAAACTATTGTTTTCGGTGATAGTGTAGTCAATAAGTCAAATGAATTAGCATCACATTGGAGTACGGGTGGACAGTAACGTGCTTTTACAAGTTTTAACAATGATCATTTCGATATGTCAACAGTGTGGCTAGGACTGAGCATGCTCCATAGAACTAAACCCAGCTCATACATTGTAGCAGTCAAAAACATTCCCAGCAACTGAAAAATGTATTTATTCCAAAAATTTCCCGGGTTTTCAGATGCCTCTTGGTTATACATGTCAACAAGAATGAAAATTTAGGTCCCTTAAACCTTCCACTGATTGCTTTCAACCACACGAAGATATGAAGACGCAGTCAGTGTTGACCGGACATGTTTCCTGCGACGGCCTAACATTTTGAGATACATCACCTGACCTATCTAAGGTGGAAAATATCGAAAAGCATCCAATAAAAACTATGCGGTCAGCTTTACATCATGATCTTTCTGTCGTTAGTAAAAGACAAACTTGATATTCATATATTCATTGCTTTGTGAAATGTAGTGGTTGGCGAAATTCTACTATATACCTCTTGAGCATAACTTTCACAGAAAATTCATCCCCTTTTCTTTTCAGGTGGTTTAGAAAAGCGCAAATTTCCCCAGTTGTGATAGATGAAAAGTACCGACTATTTATACGCATGTAGATCGTCTACGTTTTAAAAACGTACCTTAACTTATGCGTTTAGTACTACTTGGTTATGTATGAATTTCGTAGTTACAAGGTCGTCTCACTAGCGTATTACTTTAATGAATTATCCTAATATTAGACGGCTCCTTTTGCCTGTCTGTAGTCATAGATTGGCAACTGATTCGGAAAAATCTAAGCTTTCAGAAGTAGCTATGTATTAAAAATTGCTATTCAGAGCAGAACCGCTTTCTTGTCAATCTCGCTGCATTAATATGCACCTGTGAGTGGTATCCACTCAGTAAACTGATGTAATCAGTGCACAGCTGTAACAGTTTTGGTTTATGAGATACTTAAGTCACCAATCAGTGTAACCATCGTATGGTGGTTTAGACTAAGTGGGAACTCTGAGTTAGCTACGTTCAGTTCAACAATGGATATGAGATTACAGAGAGCATACAAACTAGGCAAAGAATAATATATGTTCACACATAAGCCTGAAAAAGATAATTTTACCGCATACTTTAGTGCAAATACTCACCAATTCCACATTCTAACAAGTCTATACCAGGTAGCAGATAGTCCTTTCTGGTGTTATTACCATTCTTGTCCACTGTTTCTTGGTCTCTACCTTTTCCATTCATGCCTCCAGCTTCTTCACCTGCATTTCTTACGCTTATTTGATTCATTTCTTGTGTATTGAAGAGATTTTGTTGAGCACCACTAGATAGCTGACTTTTTGCCGGACTTGCAGCTTGTGAAACACCCGTTGATGCACAAGAGCCCATACACGAATAATTACCTAAATGAGATTGGACAAATTTCAATTTGAAAGAAAAAATAAGAAGAACATTTGTGTTTTATTGTGAGTGGTTTTGATACATTGTCAATCTTAAAATTCTTTAACTACTTAAGTCACTTTTCCCGTAGGTCTCAGTTCTAAGCCTCTTGATTATTCGTGCTGCCCAAATAAGGACTAGATAAGTTTCCCCAGTGATGTTATGTCTTGTTTTGATGATACTTGGGTTTATTTTACTCCTCTTTTACTGTTACAGGTGTACAGCAGATTCATAAAAGAGTAACGAAATCTCATTATCTCTGACTAAGTCAGCACTTTACTTAGGGTGAAGATTATCTAATAGCTGTTATACTATACTGATACAACACCTCAGTGACAGCAGTAACTAGATAGCTGATGCCTTCTCGTATTTTCCTCTCAGAAAAGTCATCTTTGATGATCTATAATTTTAAAAGAGTATGCTGCTGATCCTTATACTTGCAGCTGTTCTGCGTGTTCTTATTTGGATGGATGCCTTTTGTAAGATTGCTTTCAGCGATATACCAGTCACCCTCATCAGTATGTATGCTAATCCCAAACTGTAAGTGAAGTCGGTCAGAGTAATATTATTGAAAGCTTTGCCTTTGGAAAAATAGTTGTTTCAGAAGAAATTGTAGTCGTTGAATTAACACTGATTAATAACTTGGTAAGTGACTCTTATGCATAACCATCCCTTCAAGGAGTTAATCACTTTCGAAACGTTTAAGGTGTGAGATACTTGGTGGCAGAAAAAAATTAAGTAGCTTTGAAATGTGGCGAGATGATGAGTTTCTAAAAGCACTGATCTTGATGTTTACTCAGACTCATTAGCGAATTTCCTTGTTAACTATGAAGAATCCCACAGACATCAAATTTTTTGTAATTAAATCCTTGTGTAGACGGAAAAATATCTCATAAATTTATCTTTAGGTGATTGTACGTTTCCCTTATAACGTCCGTAATCAAACTAAAAACTTATCTCATCTTATAAGAGATAAAGTTAACTTTCAAATTAAACAGCCGTCTAAATTAACTGTGATCTCTGATATTCCTTTTAGCTTGGATCTTAAACGGTTGACGAGGCCAGTAAATAAAAGGTACTGTTTTCTTGTTCACTTAAGTTTGATAACAAGAAAAATAGTAAAGTGGTAGTGGTAAGAAATCATTGTTATAAACTTTAGTCCCAGATGGTGGCAGAAAACATTCAATCTAGGCTTTGTGTTAGGTGACACTTATGAGTTCGGCGTATCTCTAATCTCCTCCATGATTTGAGCCAGTGTTAGCCTTAATAATGAAGTAATTCAGGCTATAACTCATCCATTTAGCACCGGAATATGTACACGAATCGGTTATCAGTGTGTAACAAAAGTAACTGTCTGACGTTTGGCAACGGTCAAAGTCAATCCATCGAGCTTTTCGGTGTCGCCACTAGGCGACACAACACTGTAATGCACTCTACTTTTTTGTCAAAGTCTTATTTTCAATAGTAGATAAACTATGGTGCCTTTTATGACCCGTAAGTACTACACTAAGTAATACAATCAACTGTGTACAACAAACACATAACATTTGAAACTGTTATCTATATCACTTTTATGTGAAAGAAATCAGAGCTTTGCTATTCCATCAACTAGTCGAGAAAATATGGAACTACTGAGATTATCCTAATGAGTTACAAATCTTCATTGCTACTGGTAACCGTGATTTCTAGACCTCTTGGTTTACAACTTTCTAGTAGAATTTATTGCTCATAATCTTATCAAAGTAATAGCTTAAATTTCAGATTTCTCTTTTGCAGTCCAACAGTCCTTTCATTCAGTAAACATTCTCAAATATCCGTAATACTTTATGAATTATTTCTGTTAGGCGTTGATTCAATGAACGAAGATTTCAGAATCTTTGTCTCCCCCTACCTAGATGTATCAACTTTTAGATCTATTACCCTTTCCTACCTCATCATGTGATTATGGATCGGTGGATGCAGAGAGATGACTGAGATTTCCTCGAAATCACTTATCTTAGCAGGATTCATTGTTATTTGTTTCACTACATTGTTTTGCTCTGCTATTCTGACTGATCCAGATTGATTGCTGTGATCTACGTACTTCACATTACGATCATTACATAGTATCTGACAGATTAAGTCGTTTCGCTTAATTGGCTCTACTGGACCGTCTAGCCAACCGAGTTGCTTTCTGGGCGACTTTGTTGGTTTAAATGCCACCATAATCCCAGTATTGTTAAGAATTCAACAGAAAATTTCTAATTTACCTTCTTTTTCTGGTAAACTACAGAGGATGTGAATTCCTTCTTGGGTATGTTGCAATTACCACCAATATAATCACTCCTTCTCTTACCAGATATTATAAACTTTCTAATAAATTCCGGGGGAGGGGGGTTGTTGTTAAGAAGTAGTGTATCTTTTCTGTGTTTCAGTTCCTTGGTTATGTTTTCTGACTTACTAGTTGAACTTCTAGCCCCATTACGAAGACATTTTTCCAAGTCTACGATGACAGGTATAGGGGGGGGGGGATACGAAATCCAAATATCTTTTCGAGTGTAATCATTTCCTGTAGACACTGCTACTTGAACTACCATATTCTCTTGTCTAGATTTTTTAATTCTATACAGCTAATTTGCTTTCTTGAAATTTTTAAGTTGTAATCAAGTTGGATTACATCTGATGTCGAACTTGTATATGAGAAATGTGTCATTTAAATATCGCCATCATACTTTTGAGGTGACTTAGAATGTTCCTAATGCCTTTTGTTCCTGACAGTCCCTGGGTGTTTGCTACGATGGGAGAAATTGGAGATTCTATAGCTCCTCCTTCTGTTTGTTCAAACATTTCGTCTTGAAATTTGAAGACCGTGGAATTTAAATACAACAATATCTCTAGCATGATTTCTTCAGTCAAAACTCCAACTCTCCTACTGAGTTCATGGTCTTTTGAATTCGACTGATCCATTCCACTGATTATTTTAAGTGGTAAGCAGACGTTAATTTCACTCAGTGGTATATACTGACATCCAACTAGTTTCATGCTTTTTTTTAGCGTTAATTCACCAAATCAGTCTGCAATCCACAGTAGGAACAGAGTATAGAATGGCAGTCAACTCAAATCCACCTCAAATTCATTCACTATGAAAACGTCTTCGACAGCGCCGATAGTGCCCAGAAGTAATTTGGCCAACTGCTTCAACAACACGGAATACCACAAACCTTTGTCAACCACATTCAACAACTAACCATACGACAACACCACATGCCAAGTAATTCACAATGAGAAGCTCAGTGATGCTTTCGAAGTGAAGACAGGAGTGAAACAAGTCTGCCACCTACTATCACCCATCATCTCCCTGATTGTGGTCGACTCGACTGGACTGGACTGGACTGGACTGGACTGGACTGGATAATGCAACAAACAGTGAGGAGCGAGAAGAGGTGGATTCGCTGGCTGGATGAGGAAATGAACCTAGAAGACATAGATTTCGGTGATGACTTGTGTCTGATGTCACACAAAACTGAAATATCTGTAGGCGAAATCCAACAAATTGACAGAAGAGGTAGGGCAGGGCAGGGCAGGGCAGTGCAGTGCAGGGCAACGAAGAAGGGATTTCAAGTGAAGGTAGAGAAGACAGAGGTGATGAAGATACACAACCAATGCCAACACCACCACCACCACCAACAACAACAACAACAAACTCCAATCACCATTAACGAAAGAAATCTAAAGCAAGTTGCCTCTCTCACCTACCCACCCAACTAGGCAGCATCGTTTCAAATACAGGCGGTGGCGTCACAGGCACACACGAGGATGTCAAAGCCAGCAAGGATCGGAAAGATAGCAAGACAGGCGTTCATCAACCTGAAACCAGTGTGCAGATCTTCTGCCCTCCATACACCATTAACAATAACATCCGAATTTTCAACACTAATTCAGTGAAGTCAGTGCTTCTATATGGTTGAGAAACTTGGCGCGTCAAGGAAGGCATTTCCAACAAACTGCAGACGTTCATCAACAACTGTTTATGCTTGTTCGTTACTGAAACTCAGATGTCGAGAAAGAATAAGCAAGGAGCAACTCTGGGAACGAACCAACCAAGGAACTATCGCTGAACAAATATGCAGAAGGAAGTGGAGGTAGATTGGGCATACACTGAGAAGGCCGACTGGGGACATCACACGCCATGTCTGGGTCGTCGATTGGAACCCAGATGGAAAGAGACGAGTTGTGCGTCCCGGCTGAGGGTGACATGGGGGAGATAGTGCGAGGAAGAAATGAGAGCTTGTAGGCTGGCAGTCGTGGAGCCAGGTTCAAAAGCTTTCAGAGAACAAAGTGCAGTGGAGACGTGCTACTGAAGCCCTATGTTCCATTAGGAACCCAAGGGACAAATAATAATTATAATCCATAGTAGATCTGTATAAATTAAATATTCCAGTCAACTTCACTCAAAAGCCCAACTAAAGATGTTCTCATTAAATTATTTTTTCTGTAGCTGTCCTCTCATAGAAGTGAATCGAGTACAAACATTAGTTGTCGATTGGTAATCAATATCATGCTGTTTATTCCACACTATATAATTAATTTACCATGCAATCCAAGTGTGATAAATAAATTCAAACACAGAACCAGAGACCCAGATATTTTCTGCAATGTTTACTTTCGATATATTCATTGAACATCTTGATTATTTAATAACCCAATTGGACAGCAGATCTTCCACCTTATTTTCATAAAATAAAACTTAACTAACTATTGTCTAGTTCTGTAGGCTACCTTTGTTGACATGCTGATTGTTAGGGTTCATTGTATCGTAGCCATTAGTACCCACATGAATAAAAAAGTAGATTATATTCTTTCTCAGTCACTCAAATCCTGCCATAGAATAATCTTCAGGTCATTGGACTCTGATGCACATTGAAACTAAGCTATTCTGATCATTTGCATTTCATTTCATTGAGATGGGA